TCGGTATCTGTGACCCTTCACAACTTCTGTTATCTAGTCCATTAGCCTGTATGGAGCCTGAAATGATATTCCGCTGTTTTGGTGCCATTAGTTTAAGCGTTGTCACAAAAACTGTGAAGTGTAGTTGAGTTCTTCATGCCACTTCCAAAAGAAGTAAAAGGAAAAAACCTGAAACAGCTGAATTAGTGGCCAATTTCCTTACTGTAAGCAAGCCTGTGACTCTTTTCAGATAGGACCTGAATTTGGCTCTTTATAGTACTGTAACATTCAATTCATCTCAGTTTAACTCTGGCTCCAAGTTGAATGATTGCTACCATGCAAGCATTTTCACTGTATTTGTTTCATTCTGCTGGGGTCAGATAAGAGCACAGGTGGAAAGCAAGTAGTTGTCTGGCCTACTTGCTCCACTCTTCTGGCTCGTTCTAATTAGCAGTCTTTACTAGCTTCTCCTTTTGAATGAATGGTTGATTTTTAACTGGAGTTCCTGGATTCCTTTTTAACTGGAGTTAAAAAGGAAGGCAACAAGAACAGAATATGTAACAAAAGTGCACAATATCAGAATCCCTCTCTACAAAAAAGAGATTTTAAATCTATATAAGAATGCATATATTTACGTGACACAAGGCAGAGAAAACTAACAAGCTACAGAGTTCTCTCTGCAAGCACCAGTATTTCAAGCTGAAAACCATACTAGCTATTTCACAACTTGACAGAAACTCTCCTGTTCACTGCCCCTTACAAAATGAACAGCCTGTCAGAATGTCAGCTGTTCAGAGTACCCAGCCTTCAGGACAGGCAGAGGACAAGTTGCACTCAGATTTCATTTGGTATCTAGTAATGGAAAGTCATAGCTAACAATATTACTACAAAACAGGAGTTCAATGCCAAAGATTTTGGATTTTGCAATGTGGTTCCCGTTTAAGATAGTACTGACCTCAGCAGCCACAGAATACAAGACATAAGCAAATACATCCTCATAAGCAAAATCAACCAGATTTGTGCAGCCCATCAACAAAGGCGAGTACCACATAAATCAAGAGACTTTGTCACTACTAAAATCACAAACAGGCCAAATCAGCAATAAGGGCTATTTAAACATAGCAGACCCATCTACAACCAAAGCAAGCTATAATTGATAGAATGTTTGTGCACAGCCAGAAACACGTGAAGCAGGCCAAGGCATGCAGGATCTCTGGGCAACCTATTTTTGAAGGCTCACAAAAACCACAGAAAAATTGAGGTTGGAAGGGACCCCTGGAGATTGTTTAATCCAACCCCCCTGCTCAAAGCAAGGTCAACTAGGGCAGGTTGCTTAGGGCCACATCCAATTGGGTTTTGACTATCCGCAAGGGTGGAGACTTCACAATCTCTCCGGGCAACCTGCCCCAGTATTTAATCACCCTTACAGTAAAAATGTTTTTTCCTATGTTTTAATGGGAATTCCTGTGTTTCAATTTATGTCCAATTTTTCTTGCCCTTTCACTGGGCACCACTGAGAAGAGTCAGAGTCTGTCTTCTTTATTTCCAGATAGGTATTTAGATACATTGACAATATCCCCCCCCAAACCTTCACTGCTATAGACTGAACAGTCCCAGCTCACTGAGTTTCTCTTCATATGAGAAATGCTCTAGTCTCCTAATCATCTTTTTGGTTATTTGCTGGACTTAACACCAGGATGTCTATACCTAGTAGTGGGGAGCCCAGAACTGTACCCAACACCCCATGTGGCCTACCAGTGCCAAGTAGAGGGAAAGGATCATGTCCCTTGACCTGCTGAAAACGATCTTCCTAACACAGCCTAAGTATGCTGAATTTCTTTGCTGCAAGGATGCACTGCTGTCTCGTATTTGGTTTGGTGTCCACCAGGACCGTCAGGTCTTTTTCCACAAAGCTGCTTTCCAGTTGGTTGGCCACCAGAGTGTACTGATGCATGGGGTTATTCCTCTCCAGGTACAGGACCTGTCTGAACTTTTGCTGAACCCCTTGAGATCCCTGTTTGCCTATTTCTCCAAAAGCAACAAAGTACCTCTGAAAAATGGCAAAGCCATCTGGTCATCAGTCACTCCTCCCAGGTTTGCAACAGCTGCAAGCTAGTAGAGGGTACAGTCTGTCCCATCATCCAGGTCAAAGATGTTAAACAGTATTGGTTTTAGTATCAGTCCCTGGAGTACAACGCTAAAGACCAGCCTTCAAGTGGACTTCATGCTGCTGACCACATCCTTTGAGCCCTGCAGTTCACCCAGTTTTCAGTCCATCGTACTGCTCATTTATCTAATCCATATTTTATCAGTTTGTCTATGAGAATGTTATAGGAAACAATGTCAAAAGCCTTACTAAAGTCAAGATAAAACATATCCATTGCTCCTTCCTCATCCACTGAGCCAGAACTACTACATTCCAACTATGAGATTTCATATGTGCTTCTGAAAAGAAACTGAGATTAGAGAAATAAGGGAAAACAGTATATTTGTGTTGAATTCAGAAAGTTACAAATGAAGAAAATAACCTGAGGCTTAGCAAGTCAGCAGACCTGCTTTATGCAGAACAGAACTATCTCTCATTTTTGAGTAAAGTTTTGGAGGCAAGTACATTCAAACAAGTCTTTGAAGAGCAAGCCATGGAAAATTTTATGTGTGTCTTCAAATTCACCGCTGATGTGCAAGAAGCACTCCAAAGGGGTCACTGACAACACTAACAAAACCCCAAATATACTACAAAGAGATAAAGAAGTAATTCCAAAATTATAAGCCTGACAGTCAACTTTCTAGATACCTGGGTCAAACCATAAGATCCTGAAACTGGTACGTTATTTGAAGAATTCTGTGCACAATTAATTAACAACCACAGGTCCCTCGAGATTCTGTACATGTGCAAATTAGCATATGTGGTAAACTGCAGTTTTTAGCCTGGATTTAGTCTTCCTTAGAAACTAACAGGTCTAAAGTATTTATCTCCTTCTCCCTCAGTAATGCACTTCCCCCCAGCTCCCAAATTTGCACCACTGCTGCTCACACTAAGGCACTAGGATAGTAACTAAAGAAGAGAATTATCATTTATTTCCCCCTACCTTTATTTTTCTTCTTTTGTATTTTTAATTCCTACAGTGACAACAGTCATTCTGCTACAGGGTTTATTCATGGCACTGTTTAAGTAAGTTTGTCAATGCTTCTATCTTCTTAGAAAACTAAGTCACTGCCTGTACAAATAAATATTTTCAGGTGAGCTGCATCAAAATTTCCTCACAAAGATCTAATGATTAAGATATTAAACTGAAATTTTGGGGGTTCAGTTCTGTTCTAGTTGTAACTGTGGTCAAAGAGGACAACACCTGTTCTTCAATTCTTCATTTATAAACTGAGAATATTTACACTAATACTTAGAGTATCATTATGTATCATATTATGTGTCCTTCTCTAGCTGGTTTCCCATCATTCTGAAAGGCATTGTTTCTGGCCACCTTCTAAAACAAAAACCTTATCTGAGCCCCAAAATGTTTCCAAACGGAAAATTAAAGCTTCTGTAAGACAAAGAGCTCCTCAGCGAAAGCGGTAAGAGAATCTCCTGAAGGGACTCTTGCAGGTGGATTAGTGCAAAGTGAACTTGATCCATCCTTGCAGAAGATTTAATCTAAGGTGACTGTATACATACATAGACTAAGATCACTGATGCAATGTATAAAGGTATTTCAAACCTGGGCACTGTAACCTACAGTTAAAAGGATAGAACAAGAAGCTAAGAAGGTAACTTTTTATGTCTCTTTAGCTAGAGATGTAAAATCTTGCCTCGCTCTAGAACGTGCTGTCTTCTGCCTTCTTTACTCTCACACTGGTCTAATTATACATAGAGACTCTTGTAGCTTTATTTTCCATGACACTATTTAAATACTATCTTCCCAGAACTTAAGTACACTAAATATTGGTCATAAAGTGCTTGGAAAGAAATCAAGTTATGCAAAATGTCTATTTAGGCTGCTTGCAAAAGCAGCCAAAATTGACTCCTTTTTTTGTGACCCTCTTTTTAATGTGCCCCTCCTAACATGCTGTTCAATGCAACACTCCTGCCAATCCTAAACAGCATCTCAGATTTATTTTTAAGTCTTTGTTTTATTAAAGAGTTTTCTCCAGGTACCTTACCTTAGCCTCCCACACAGGATATTATTTGCCCACATAAATCTTTTTACATATCAATTTTAAACCATTGCTATTTCTGTTGTTTACAACCTCCCATCACTTTAATTTTGTTTGAGAATGTCAGTATTTTAGGTATCCTTTTCTCCTAGGAGGTTGCATCGAAGACGAAGACTTCTGTTATTACAGTCACCTTAGAGAAACAGGTTTTCAAAAATGAAACAAAACACTTTGACTCCTATAATTCTAACACTCTTGAATATGATAAAATCTATTTGCAATGTCACTCTAAAGAGACAAACACAGCCAATTTAGAAACTAGAATGCCAATAGAGGTGTTCTCCAGATATATGATTTGAGAGGGAGACTAAAGGACTGGGGAAGTCACAGCTTCATCACAGGAAGGAGTATCAGAAAGCCAAAAGGAGACAGTGACATGCAGGAAAACATTTGTATATTTTAAAGAGTTTCTAAGCTCATCTTATAACAGCTCTTCTCCCATGTTAACTGGACGAACCCTGATTAAAGAAAAAAAAAAAAACAGCCGGAAAAAACTTTTACTGATTACATATTTTTGATAAATATATGTCTTGACACTCCAGAACTGATTTGCAGAGTCAACCTAGCTATGGCAAGCATATGTTTCTGTTTGTCTCCAATACTCTGATCTCAGCCAGTTTAGAATGGGAAACAACTGTGAAGGACCAATGTGGGCTTACAGACAAGATGGAAAAAAGGGGTCAGAAGAAATTTTTAAAAAAGCGTTTCTCAGCATTAGAAGAATCTCTTGTAGGAAGAATCATATGAAGTGAAACGATAAGCACCACAATGCAATGATTGTTTCAGAAATAGATGAAACAGCTGATACTTACCAAATTATCAGTTTCTGGATCTTCACAGAAAAAGGGTTTTCCTTCTTTCTCCTGCTTCCTTACAAAATTTTCAATATCTACATCAAAACTAGCAGAAGTTGTACCTTCTGAACCTTGTGTAGATTGTTCACATTTTTCAAATAATAGTGCTAACAAGGGAAATAGTGGGTGCCTAGAATAAAAGTTAAAATAAATGAGTATTTTATCTTGTATGTACACCAGTGAAAAATAAGACTTCTAGCTCATGTAAGGTAACTGTCACTCATGTAAGAAACAAAGACAAGTCTCGGAAGAGACTGCATATAACACCACTGGCTATAGCAAAACATGATGGAAGTTTGGAATTTTTTTCTTTTTGATTTACCACACCCCCTAGAGGCATATAAAGCAGTAGAATATGAATATTTAAATAAAGAGAACAATCACAAGCTAAAAAAGCTATGACATACTATTTTATTCACTGTAACTGAATGGCAAGAGATACATTAATACAGTGCATTAGAAATGAGGATGAATGCAGATTTAAAGTCTGACAAAATTAATTTCTTCTTAAATGTGGGCCTTATTTATACATCACAAATAATTTTACAGAACTGAGAATAGTATTCAGGCTGTAGTCAGAGGCCTCCTGTGAAACCATGTTCAGAGCAGAAGACGATTTTGTTAAGACAAGCCTGTAAATGAGTGGATGCATCTTTCTGCTTCAGGGTTTTTTTTTGTTTGGTTGCGTTTTTTTGTTGTTGTTTTTTTTTTTTTTTTTTTTTTTTTTTTTTTTTTTTTTTTTTTTTTTTTTAACCTGCAAACTGGTAATAATTCTGTGTTTACAAAGCATTTACAGTGAAAGAACACAACCTCATCAAAACCGGGCATACTGCTTAGCACAGCATTTAGCACTTGAAAATCTCAAATTAGTGTGTCTATACATCAACATTTAATCCTGTTTGAGCTAATTACTGGGCAATAGATTGTTATCCCTAAAGAAAAGGGAATAAAAATCAACTTAACTAAAAAGTAAAATAAAATAAAATTATTACATTAAAAACTATGGTTTAACACATAGTGACCACAGTTCAACAGCCTGAGTAGCTTACTACATTTCACTTGTGCTTTAAAGGCAGCCACCTTTAGAATATCTTTTATAATTATACTAAAATTGAAGAACCCCGCATTAAAGGGAAGGGTTTTTTTCTTGGCTGACAATTGACAGTGAAGTAATTTGATCTCACTCTTTCCCTGCAAACAGTTATCCAAGAGATCATCTGATCTTAAGCTACTTATTATTAAATAAATAAATAAAATTCCTCTATTCTTTACCCTTCAAAAGACAGAACACAAGTCCATTACTACCTGTAAATGGCCTGCTTGTCTGCATCCATTGGAGTCTGAGATTCTACAGGGGCAGGACTCACCCCTTCGGCATCAGTTTCAGAGCAGTTGGGATCTTGTTCAGTTTTTAACTCTGTTACTACTTGCATCTGTAGAAAAAGAGTAAGTTATAAGAAAATCTGTATGCTTGATGTAAAATAAGTGTACTGTTTTCTAAGGAAATAGCAATGCACAAGGCTACTAAATTGCCAGAAGGTTGGTATGACTTGGCAGTTACACAAAAAGCCATCGCAGTAACAAAACCCCTCTTTTAATCCTTAACACTTTTTGATGGGCAGTTTAAAGGTCACTTCAAGTTTCAGCACTCGGCTTTAAAATGGGAATGACAGATATTAGTAAATTGTTATAGCATTTTGTTTCTGAAGTGGCTATTTTTGGAATAAGCCAGCAAAAAATAAGAAAATTTTTGCTCAAAAAGATTTATGGGCATGTCTACATAAAAAGCCTTTACGATGAAAACAACAAAAAGGAAAGCTTCTACTTTTAAGTTTTCTTTCTTATTTCTTACTGTACATTATATCAAGATACTGAAGAAAAGAGACCCTTAGGTTTTTCTTGTCCATTAAAACACACGTTTTCTTACCAAAAACGAAAATATTCTGTATCCCTCCAATCTTTCAATAATCAGGAGCATAACCTCCCCTGCCTGAGCTTTACCACTCAAATTCACATATTGTACTAACAAATTATTTTAGGAATATCAAGCTACTGGAGAAAAGAACAGTAACTGCTTCTACAAATCCATTTAACACATAGTTACACAATCTGCCACCACTGGAAAAAACAACACACAGCCACAGCTACTACTGAGCACCTAAATTGCACTAGGTGGCTGCTAATGCTCTGAGTGCTTTGGAGGTGTTGAAAGTGTTTTTCCCATCACGTCCAGCTAAGTATCTTTCAGAGTAAAATGTCTTAAAGGAACCTGACCTCTGAAAGTCATAGTTTCCACTGCCCAACCCAAACTCCTTGATTTTCTCCCCTTTGAACATTAGGAACATCTGTACAAAAACAAGAAATCACTGCAATCTTTTTTTTTTTTTTTTTCTACTTTAACCTTAAGAAGTTTTATCTTGAGTAGAGGACAGAGACTGTTCTAGATAGCACCAGGCGGCCAGAATTGACACCTGCAGAAAGGAAGTGATATGGAATGCAATCCTCTGCCCCCTTTTCCCATGAGATGTATGTAACACATCACTCACAGGAACATTCTGAGAGGAGAGCTGGCCTCTGGAAACTACTAGAGAACCTATCTCTGACAAAATTTAATCTATTTCCACACAACATAAACACAAGGTATTTATACTATTCCCAACAAGAAGTCTGGGAGAACCAAAAGGTTTGTGCTTTTACTACCTGTCAGGGCCAAGCCATCTCCTAGCAAAGTCAGAACCTGAGAAAATGCCAGCATATCCTACCCAGCAGAGCAGCCTCCATTGCAAAAAGCTTCATCAGCAAGCAAAGATGATTTTTAGCCAGAATGCTTGCAAGAAAAGATGCAATTAATGGATTAATTTCTTGGCTAATGACAAGGAGAAGCAAAATAAAAGGGGATGACTCAAGTGATTATAGATGTTGAGCCACACATCTACAGAGTCTGAAGGGAGAGAGTATGTTCAGTTAGGGCTCTCTTACACTAGAAGGAGGAAATAGCTCACTTAAAACTGCAAGCTACTTTCTATGGGCCATTTCCAAACTACAAAAGCAGCAGGCACCCAAATTACTCGCCTATCTTGGGTCACTGAGAGCTTAAAACACAAAACAAATAGAAAGAAAATGCTCTCTCCGAATACATTCTTTACAAAAACATGGATTACTTTCACTGGTGTGTCACAGGATGGCAACTATTTCCTGGAAGAATAAAGTAAAAGTAAGGTAGGTAAGAGGAACAAGAGAAATTAGAATTGCAATAATCCCAGGCTGCATTCAAATAAACATAAGAGATGGGAAAAGTTGCTTCTTCTGATTGTTCACCACTGTTGCCATCTGCTGACAGAAGAACTTGTATTTACTGCTTAGGGCTGACACATAGTAATGTAAAAATAGGTATTCAGAGCACAGACCAATGGTATGATTTGTGTCCATTTAACAGTATTGTAATTTAGCAATTCAAATTGTTGCAATATACAGCCTGTTGTACAAAAAAAACCCACACCATGACCAGACATATGTGAGTGTGTTTCATGATTCTAGCTGTTCTTTAACTGAAATAAGAAACTGAAAGCCCACTGACCAGCTTTCTAATTAGCAGTTCTAATCAATAACCTCATTAAAATGAATTCAAACATTTTACCAGTTTGCAGCCTGCAACATAATTACATTCATTTAAACGTAGCCAAAGCAGTAGTAACCCTAGATTACTAAATTTACTCTTCACTTGTTCAAGACCAACAAGTCTATGACTGTGTTGCGTAAATGTCATCTATCTGCAGACACATAAGAACACTGAAGTATCATATACAAAAAAATATTACAGATATTACATCTGACTCTCCTAAAAACAGGAACATTACAGCCCACAAATCATCTAGCACAAATTCAGAAGAAAACCCTTTATCAAACCATTCTTCCAGAAGTTAAGCAAAGTCATGAAAAGATTAACTAAGCCTTTAATAAGTATTCAAGTATTAAAAAATAGCAGCTTATCACTTTAAAGATTCTGTTTTACAAACCAGAACAGACACTTAAAGAATGCCAAACCAGGCATTAAGGAAAAAGTCACTACCTTTTTTCTCTTGCTAACGGTATTTAGTTCAGAGACAAAAAAACACCACACCTACCTGTTGTCCATCTTGATAGTTGTCTATACTTAATGTCTGTGTTGCCATCATGGTTAATAAAACTTTAATTATGTCAAATCATCATAAGTATGAACAAATATTCTTTAAAAAAAAAAGTCAGTTACAAAAGTGACCACCTGGAATCCAGTTCTAAAAGATGAAAAAAGAAAGATTTATGCACACCTCCGCCCCAAAAATCAGTGAGTTTATTTACAATGATAACTATGTGCATTTCTCAAACAAACAAGAAAATATAAGTTGGATAATGCAGCACATTTCATCAGTAAAAAGTTCATGGTATCATTTCATATTTTAACATAAGATTTTTATTAAGAGGCTGAGTTTCTTTTACATTCACAAACTTCAAGTGAACTTTTTATTTCTGCACTAAACTAACTAACTTATTCTAAGGTAACAAATAAAAATCTATAAACAGGCAAAGATCAATGTTCCTGTGTTTTGAAAAAGCTAACAACACATTGAGCATTACTGCAACTGAAATAACAATAGTCTACAACCAATGAACCAAATGTAAAAAGCGTTAAGGAATACCTGATTTACTTATGAGTACAAATCTCACATTCTAAAGTCAGGGCCTGAAATTACTTTTAGAAACTGAAGTCTCAAATCACTTCTGACATCAGCAACCTGCCATCCAAATTATTTAAGGCTCAACAAAGAATGGAACTTTTAAAGAATTGGACCTATGTGATTATATAGTTTGAAAAGCGACCTATGAATTCAGAAGTCTCATTTTCACAGACATTTGATGACTTGAAAAATATTAATTGTAATAAGATTTACAACAGAAATAAATTTATGTATGTTACTCTCTCTAAGGATTAGCTGGAGTTTGTGTCCAGATGAGTTAAACATTTTTTTCAAGTTAGACATTCAGTAATTTAAAAAAAACCCAAAACATTTAGCATAGCATCACCACCAGATCATTTATCCATCAAATTACTAATTTACATTTCATTTCCTTGTCAGATTAGCAGCCACTACAACTGAAACCACATAATTCATTAAGGTATTACCATTAAATATTACCATAGAACTCAATTTTCCTTGACACATAGGAGTCCTAATGTTTAGCTACTATGAAAAAATACTCATATTAAAAAAGAAGACAGAGCTCATGTCTTGACAAAGATTACATCCAGGTATTAATTCCAGGTTTTCTGCTCTTTTCCACTTATGTCAGTATCAAAGAACTAAGTATGAGAATTGTCACCAGTCTAAGATCTGAAACAACTACAATTTTTCAACTATTTTAAAATCTTTCCTTCACCGTTGCATACCACTATTACGTATGACTCTAAAAATAAAAGCAGGGTGGTTGAACAGATCAACAAGAAAGAGTAAACACTATTGAGTGTTTAGAAGCTGAAGAAGTGCCTCACAAAATGCTGTTAAAGAAATTGGCTGGCTGTAGGAGAAAGATCATGTTCTTAGTCAGAAAGGAGGAAATAAGAAAAGGTAAAACAGTCACAGAGGAGGAAGACTATCTTAGAGCTAAGCAAGGATGTGAGATCATATTCGTGACACAAAGAGCAACATGGAGAGGGAAGCAACAAAGATAACCCACGTAAACTGGTGAAGACAATAGGACACGGCAAGAATTTCTGGAGAATCAGACAAGCTGGACCAACCCTTCCTTAAGGAAGAGATGTTCCACATCTGGAAATCCCTCAGGCTACATGAAGGAAAAAAGAGGTGCACAGCTTTGAGCTAGATCGATAGATTATTTAATCAGGAAGGACTTTTGCCCTATTGTCTCCCAGGGGAATGGCTGGGAAGAATTCTACATGGGTATATCCTTTATTTCCCATAACAACTTCCCCTCTGACTTATAATTACGTTAGAAGAAGATTAAGCTATTAGGCAAGATAGCAACTGATGAGATTTAGTGAAGACAACTACTGCAAATCAAGAAGAACAAATTGAGCTAATCACACACTTAAATTGAGGCAATTACTGAGGAATTACTTTGGTTCACTGAAGAGAAACATCTTCTCATTACCCAGTAGTGGTTAAGAGACAAACTATGTTAAACTTTAAGAAAAATAACTGAAAAGGTATTTACACATTCAGCTTTTATAACCTAATTTAGGATACCACATCCAGTTCTACTTAGCAGATACACAGCCTAAGCAGATGTTCATTCTGCAAACAATGATGCTAGATGAGGCTGGTGTCGCTCCCAGATGTTCATCACTGCCACCCTGCCAGAGCTAATTACTTCCACAGCTCTACCACTGAGCCCACAGAACATGTGAATGATTTCTGATCCTTTTTACATAAAGTCAGCTAGGCTCGTTCAACCCGCTGTTAAAGGTGGCTATGATGTAAACCAGCTGACTTTCTCTGAAGCACATTGCTGTGCACTCATACAACCCCTGCTCTTGGCTGACCTATTAGTGTGGTAATTTCTGGCTCATGTGTGGCGATTATCAACTCACAGCAGGACCATCTTTTACCAGCACAGCTATACCAAATACTGTATGGCCTAAGGTATCTGAAGTGGGCCTAAGAACACATGACTTCTAGACAACTTAGCTCTAAAAAAAGCCAATTATTCTTTGTTAAAGAAATCATAGAAGAAGGAAAACTATATATTTGTGTTATATTCAGAGAGTTACAAATTAAAAAAAAATAACCTGAAGCTGAGAGAGTCAGCCAGTCTGCTTCATGCAGAACAGAATTAACTCTCATGCTATTTATTTTGAAAACAAAGCATGAGGAAAACCCAAGGAAATGTTTAAGGTCATGTAAACTGGAAGCTGATGCATGAACTGCAATCAGAAACTCCATTAATATCTGTGGCAAAAGGGAATTCATAAAAGCATTGTGTTCTGCAAAACAAAGTGAAAGAAAAAAAAAATTCAAGCCTTTAATAAAAATAAGTATGAAGGTAAAACGTAGAGTAGAAAGGAAACTAAATTAAGAGGAGTAATTGTAATTAGAAGCGTGGAGACTTTGTGCAAATTAGGGAGTATCTAAGAGAAGAGACTAAAGATGAGCTGAAACATGTACACAAAGTGATCACTTAACATACATCACTCTTCACTTGCTCTACTTACTCCTTCATAATTAAAAGCAAAGGGACCACCCAGTAATGTTAACATAAGGTGCAAGTAAGCTGTTGGAGTTCAGTAATATCATATTTAACATATACAAGCTACAACAGATGTTTGTAAGAGATATAAATAGTTATGCTTCGGGGTATAAACTAACCACTAACTGTCTTAGGGTTGTGAAGAAACTACCCAACAGACTTGTTAACAAGTAATCGTTCCTTCTAATTTTCCCCTACACACGTTCCTTTGAAGTCCTTCAGAGAGAAATGGACCACTGGCAGATTCAGCATGGTGAGTTGTTCATTCTTATTTAACTTCAGTCCTGGCACTTGCTCTATTACATAGACCCTTATATTCACATAAAAAGTTAAAAAGAAACAAAAATCAAAACAGCAAGCCTGTTTGACACATGAAAAGCATCTAGAACTGGCTTCACTTTTCATCAAATTACATAATGGTACTTGCTTCCAGGGCACACTGCTTTCTAAATATGATAAAATATTGGCCATGAGAAAGGTGCTCACCCCTTTCCTTCAATGGGTTGAAGAAGACATTATTTTTTTCCAGCAGAGGGAATCCCACTGATGTACAACGTAGAGGACAGAAACCTAAAAACCAACAGAGAAATATTCAGAAGGAGACAATAACATAGAATATACTTTCTGAGACAACGATTAAAGAAAATATTTACATTTATTATGTGGTTCCCTCCACAAGATTAATTAAAGTCAATTTTTTTTTTTGCAGGTTCTGCAAAATTTTTTTTGGCATTTTTAATAATCTGTAATCACACCCACTATCCCATGCTATTATTTGAACTTTCCCTTACGTTATTCCACTCATTCTCCATATTTATCTTTGTCTTTGCTGGTACCTCTAACAGAAAGCTACGTTTGGACTGCCAACTTGCTTGCTGTTCAGCCTTTGTATTTTACTCTCTGGCTCCGCGTCCGTCTGCTCAGACTAGACAAGACACATCCCAAAAATAAAACTACAAAATGCAAATAGGAATAACTCATCAGTGTTGTAAAAACTAAGCATGAAACTAAGAAAGGTGAAAGACTTTTTAAAAATCTAAATCTCCTTCATAATCATGCTTTCATTTTAACATGGAATTCTAATGATGGCTATGATCAAGTAATCTACTACATGATAAAAAATAACAGACTATAGCAAGAGGTGTGAACCATTATTAGGGTCATGTGTTCTGTGAAGACAGCTTCTGCTACAGGGTTATTCCGCAATTTTAAAAAGCTTTACAAAAATTAAATATAATTACAGTAATTTTAAGTGGTAATTTAATAGCACCTGTTTGATATATTAAATCTACTTTTTAAAGAGTAGTAATAATTTGAAAGCAAAGTAGCAAAGGTTGTGAAAATGTATTTAGAAAACAAACTGCTGAAAAGCACTAAAAAAACCCTGCAAAACTATCTTGGGGGAAGGTCCAGACACTGATGTTGGACAAAGTCCATCTAAAATCATCTGATGGCTAATACACACAGCTGAGATCTTGAATCAGATTACCTCACTTTCTCACACAAAGTTCCTGGGTTCCCAGTTTTGCCAACTGCATAAGAACTGGAATGAAAGCAACTCCAACATTTTTGAAAGTGAAATGAAGTCAGTATTTGAATTTGAGACCCCAAATTTATCCATGCATAGTGTAGAAGTAATGTTTTTGAGACAAGTGCATCCTAAGAGACATTCAATATAGACATCACCTCTTGTTCATGAAACATAGCTCTCAACAAGCAAGAAAGATACTTTGAGGAGCCGTAAGGCAGTGTAAGTTTCAGTCATTGGTTAGAGATGAAATACTGAGTTAGAAGGAATTTCAGTCCAAACTGATACACCTAGTCCTGATGCCTCAACTGGCAGATGACACATTAAAAGTTCTTACCACTTTCTCTTAAACTGTCAAATAACTACATCCCCAAAGAATGGGCTTTTTTCATTTTTGCATCTTCTTAATTCTGCTCTGAAAAGACAGTGGACCCTCCTATTCCTTTCTTCGCATGCTTTCTATCTTCTATAATTTTGGTACACATTTTCACCCACCTCAACTTGCTGGGCTATTTTCAAATAGAGAACTTCTCACTATTCATAGCATCTTCTGAATGTAGGTCACTGCCAGATAAATTGGGATTATCTATTCCTTGTCTCTGCTCAGACATAAAGAACTGCTTCACCATCACAAATCTGAAAAACCTGCTCCCTTCATTCAGAAACTACTGCAGCAAAGAAACAATAGTGCCACTGCTGTCAGATCTGGTCAGTCAAAAATATTTCATGAATGAAGAAGTAGCCCTTGCCTGCAAAGCATTCAGCTGAAACTCTCGAAATGGTCAAGTTTCTAGACAGCATATCCAGATATCGAGAGCGGAAAGAGGTACTGAAGAAATACAGGCTAAGGTGAAAGACACTGCAGAGGAAAAGGTTTGGTGGAGAAGGAGCCAGAGGACACTGCAGTCATATTACCTCCTTCCAAGAAACACCTGTCAGCAATTAAGATTAGAGTCTAACCTAAAACATATTACACAATAAAACAAAAGAGATCTGAACTTGCATGTTATGTCCTTTTGTCTATCACAGTGGGGCAAGAACAGGGAGCAGATACACCTGTTAAAGGATGGAGGCAATACCAAGGCACCGTGGAGCCTAAACTTGGAATTGCTATTGCCAATTCCTTTTTTCCTTTATTATTCTTGCAGACAATCTTTAAAGTCATGTTATCTTAATAAAGAAGATATTTAACTATGAAACCAAACCCAAGGCCAACTTGGTTTGTCACTTAAAAAGGGTATCACAACTGAACTTTTTACTACAACTTAAAATATGACCTTGTTCATTCAAGTGTAGAAGAACCCTCTGTTCGGTCGTTCTCTCATTTTGTATCTTAGCTAGAAAGAAACAATGACCTGTGCATGCATTCACATATAAACATATTAGCAGACATTAAGATCACAACACATTTATATTTTTATAGATCCAAATAATAATAATGAAGCAATATGTAGAGTATATATGTCAACATGCCATCAGGGATTCATTCTACCTTTGCTGCAGTGGTTGCCTACCTTCATCAACCTGCCTACGAAGAGACATTCAGTAAAATTAAGATAAACAAATCACTATGAAGTTGATGCATACAACTTTATTAAAACTGTGCTCAATGAGAATGTACTCCTCATTCAGCAGCAAGGTGGCTTCCATTTCCTCTATCTCATGTACTTACAAAGCATAGTCATTATTTAGAATATTATGCTTTTAGAAAGATGATGTTCCTGTTCAGGAATACAATACCAGCCTCAGGGAGTTGCACTACACAGATATAGCTAAACAGTTATTACACAACAGTTATGCTGTCAATTTCCCTGGGAGAGAAGCCCTAAAAAGCCACAAAACCAATTTTTGGCTGCAGTAAAATGAGATTTACTTCATGTCACATTTTTCCCTTTATTGTTTTGCCGTGCAATAATGTTATTTATATATTAATCTTGATGAATATAAGATTATATTAAAAAACCAAATGCATATTATACTTTAAGAAACTGAAAATTAAAAATAAATTACAAGCCACCACTAAGGTTAAATTTCTTCAGAAATACAGTCTACACTACAAGCTATCATCAACCTTTGTCTGTAGGATTTTGAACATATATACTATGTGACACTGACTTTATTTAGCAAGACCTCTCTAAGACTATATACACTGCTTTGTTGTCCCATTAATCTTTCATAGCATCCTCTTTTCATATATCCCATTTCAGAACTTAACAAGCCATACTAAGTATTTATATCACAGAGTATCTTCCAAGCATCACCTCACAACGTCACACAACATGACAAACAACATGCCATCTCATGAAAAGATCTGTGTCCTTTAGCAATTAACTCTTTGTGTAAACTCTGCTTTCAGTATTTTAAATGAATTCTGGAAATTCTCCTATTTGCAGGTACCAAATATGAATAAAAATATTGTAAAAAAGGTGCCACTTTACAAGCTACAACTGCATATGCAGTAACCGATAAAATGGATATTAAGAATGCATAAGATAATATAAATTTCTCAAGGCACAACAACAAAAACAGAATTAGGGGCATCTAAGTCTTTTGAAGAACTTCAGCTCCTTAATTCTGCTTACATCCCTTGCGTTTACACCAGCATATTTCCTGGAAAGCATAATCATGTTCATGCTCATGGTTCATGTAATAACCACAAGGAAGAGAAAGATGAGAAATCCTATCCAACCTAGTCATAAAATAATGCCATCCCAGTATGCTAGGTATCCTACCTACAAGTAGCTCTTAGCATTGCAGAACGAAATCCTCAGGTTGCTCTACCTCCTGCAAAATTAAAACTTCATTCTTCTAACTATCCAAAGATTGTCAAATTCAAGGAACTTACTGCAGTATCTCAGTTTCTCCTACCCATTTCACACTGTAATTTGATCTGCTTTATTAGCTCCATAAAGTAATAGTAAGGAATTAGGGGGACTAAACAGAAATTTTGGTACAAGGAAAACAAAACTCAGTGGAAAGGAAACCCTCCCTTCTTTAATTGCTCCAAGACTTCCGAGGGATTAGGATATGAGAGAGCACAAAAATATTTCCCATCACTCCCTCATTCATCCCCAATATTCACATAGTAAATAAAGATTCCTTTACAGTTTTTCATTCCTGTATTCTTAACACTGCAAACTGAAGAAATTTTATGGTTCTTGCTTGTGAATCCTAGCATATACATCATGATTCCTCACACGTCTACTTGCCACAGGACAGGGAAGTATTTTTTTTTGCCCTCAGTATTCACCCAATGTGCTGTCATCACAACATTTTAGACCCAAAACCAAGAAGATAGTGTAGTATCTGCCTTGCTGCTATTGTGGTAAGAGGACTACATTAGAGAGACTACCAAAAACCTCTTACGTACCAGAGGGCACATATCAGCAATTCCACAGCTGGAACTGACTCTGATACAACCTTCCTACTTAAATGATATTTAATTATTTTTTAAACATAATTTCATTATTAAAAACCAAAAATAAAAATCACAAAACAAACAAACAAAAAAACCAAACCACAACCAAAAACCGGCAACTCGACCCTCCACATTTCCCCAGCATTCCCCATATGGATGAACAACAGGTTTGCGTACGTGCTAGGCACAATTCTGTTCCTTTGCCACTGAAGCCTTTGGAATATCCACACAACTGTGGATGTAGCTAATCTCTTATTCCTGGAGATACTAATTTTGTCATACCCTTCCAGGCAAACTAAACCAAAGCAACGGGAAATCCTATTTGAATCATGATTTGTATCAGCACCCAATAAACTATGACTAAAATTAATCTTGTTTTGTGTTTATACTTTGCAGTTTCATAAAGATGACACAGAATAACCACCAATCTCACTATGCCTTTATTGCTTTACATGCATTACTTTACAATGTTAGCAAGCAGTTTATGTAAGCATATGTAAGTTTTCCAGCATTTTCACTATTTTTATAATAAAGTTATATCAAAAGTTTCTAATAAATAGAATAATTATTTTATATTTAATAACTATCTTACTATATTGTAAACAATATATTAATATTTATAATTATAAATATTATTGTTATAATAAAAGTTTCTAAGGATTCTTTCTATGAAAGACTTAATTCCTAATGCTACTGAAGTAAACTTAACGGATGAACAGTCTTATTTAACTAATAACTGCAGTTAAAATGGACTTAAGATGATGAATGCATAAGAAAATCCTCTCTACATATTTTTCACATTTAAACACTTGATCAAAACGAAGATGTTCTATTGTCAGTTATTTCACTTTTATGTCCTTTATGATTTCAGAAATAATGAGCCTGTCAATGAAGCAAGCATTAACTCAAAATAGCTATATAAACTGAAGGTCCTGCAACTCTGTCAAATCCAGTTCTAATCGGTCAGGAACTTTTGCAGACCTTTCCCTCTTTTGACTCTAACCTTTGGTTGAACATGAACAACTTTGTCTTGCTGCTAAGCGTAGTCCCTAAAATGAACTGTCATTTTCTTTTCAAAACGGTGATTAAATAAAAATTCTTCATTTCCTGCTCCACTTTGTCCACAACTCTTTAGTATTGGAGAACCAGAAGCAACCAGTTCAAATAGTTTTTCCAAGGAAGACATATTGTGTTCCAGCCACTACTGTTCCTGCTGCCAACACTCTTCACACTCCCTTACTTTCCTATCCATGTTTTTTCTGCTCTTCAGCCTTGTACTACCCATTCACACCAACATACAGCTTGTCATCTTTCTCACCTCTTGCCCTCTCTCCTTTCCCCGACCTCTGACCATTTGTGATTTTGCTAGTACCATTCTTTTCAGGTTCCTGGGCCTACTCCATTTCCACCAAGCTTCAATCTCTGTTCCTCACCTCTCCCTGAACACCAGCCTTCATCGCTCCATGAGTAAAGCTGCTGCCTAAGTGTTCTGGGGTTGGGGGAGAAGCACAGATGAAGAAAGACTATTAAGGATTAAACTTACCCAGCACCTACTGCTGTGGGATGCATCATGCTTAACTACTTGGTCCAGATGATGAGCACAGTCAGGTGACATGCAAGGACCAACAGACAGGAAGATACTCGTGTTACATGGAATATTCAGATAGTTTAGTTAAGAAATATTTGCTGAATAACATGCATGACCCAGGTTTTCAAGCGCTTATGATTTGTTGAAGTTTCTCGAGGAACACCCATACACTCCATGTGAATGTTTATGCTCTCTTCTCCTTTCTCCTCTGCAACACTCAGTTCCAGAACTGAAGTGTTGATACACTCTTAAATAAGCCAAAACAAGCACTCCCCCCTCCCCCGCTTGAAATTAACACATTTACTTTCTCTTAAAAGTCATTTTCAAAATGCTGAGTCATTTTAGATTAATGTTTCCCGAATAACCCTGCTCAAACATATTCATCATGGCAAATTTCAGTATGACTAAGAAATAAGCTACTGAAAACAACATCTCAAAAAAAAAACACCCAACCCCAAACCAGGTAACTTACTCTTGGCATTGCTACTATCATGGCCTAGAACATGCATAAGTCATCTAGAACACATGTAAATTAAGCAATCATAGACTGATCTGTAAGTTCAAGTTCTTTAGTTATAAAATTAACAACATGGCACACATTTTCATTCCCATATCCTCTAGGTATGTTAAACATGTACAATGCTCCAATTTCTGTTTCATAATTGCCTCTGTTTTCTTTGAATATAAAAGACTTGGACTTTATTTCTCAGTAGTGTGTATTATAATATCCTTTTCCCTTTCTTTTGTTTGCTATGTAATTTGAAAAAAACTAAGCAGGATGTGAAGTATAGCCACATTTCCTAGCTTCCTCTGTCCTCAAGAAAAAAGCACAAGCCATTCAAAAGCCTCACATATAAAATATAAACTGGAATTGGTGGTTTAAAAAAAATGAATCCCTCTTTTAGTACACCAGCAGTAAGCTACCATATTCTGCTTTTTTACCTGAATGTACTGTCAGCTATAGAAGATGACAGTTACAGACCATAGGTATAGCAGGCTAAGGGACAGTACAACCACATAGCTCCCATTTTCAAAAATCACCTTTTAACTGTCTAAGTACTTAAATGGACTTCCTGTTTAACAGCAAATAGCTCTTTTATACATATACGTAGAAGAAAAAGTGAGAACAACATGGCCTGGAGTAGTTGCTATATTAAAAACAAACAAGCATGTTCATATGAAGGACCATAAGCAAGCATGTGATGACAAGCAGACCTAAGTTTTATTTCCACTTCTAACACCAACTTCCTTTTTGTCCTTCAGTAAGACAAGACTTGGTATCCCCATGCCGCTGTCAGGGGAACCCAGTTACTGCCCTTTACCAACTTCATGAAAGCACGCCAGTGCTCCATGAACAACAAAGACCGGTATTTCAGACTCTTGGTGTCGTCATTTTATTTTCTACCCCACTCCTAGTTCCATTTGATGATACCCGTGTTCTACACTTACAACATGAAACAGTCTTAAAGTGAAGAACCTGCTAAAAAACGGGAATACTTCATACAATTATCTTAGGGAGACCTACAATGATCTGGGTATAATACTTTGGTAACATCTGGTAGCAAGTAAGTGAAGGAAAGAACTCTATCAGCAGCTTTTTTTCTTGCTCTTGGAATCCTCTTGCTTAGAAGAGCACTAAGTTGTTTTACAGTTTGTACAGCATTGAGCTGTGGTAAAATAACCTCCCCCCAGAGACTTATCATTTGTAAACCTACAGACTTTAACAAGTGACAGTGAAGCAACCAGCTGCTGCAAGAGGGAAGTAACATTTGTGGAATTTTAAATTTCACACACACAAAAAATTAATTCACTCTTACTTACACCAAAATAAAAATATTAATCTACTTTATTGTAAGCTTTCACATGTGTGCCAGTTTTGCGGAGGTAACATTTGGCTCCCAGACCACTACATAATATTCTGCAATACAATTTGGACTACATCTCTCTTCATTCAGGACATTAACAGAGCCATCAGAACACGCAGTTCCACTATCACGGCAGTGGTTTTGTGGATCATTCACCCTTGGCTGTTAGTACAGTGCTTAATAACAGCAAAAGAGTTATTCTTTTCCAGGAAATTGAATTGCTTCTAAACACTTCTAAACTTGCTGTGGTAGCAATCAGAATTATTACGACTTTATTACAACACTGCATTTACAATACAGGGAAAGGTATGAGAAAAATACAGTTGGAAATCAAAATTCTGAAAAAGGAAGTACAGCTTCTAGAAGACACATCCATTTCCTAAGACAAGTATTTAGAATAAATATATATATTTAATTCTAATTAAATTTAATTCTAAACTCCTTTCAGTTACACTGATGGAAGACTGCAAGGACTTAGTTTCAAAATGTTATTTTTATGTTCAATAAACAATGTGAATCTTTAAAATCGTGTCTAGATTAAGAAAGACTACAAATCAAGGCTGTGGTTACTTTAATATTAGACTAACTTGTTACATGCCAAAGTGAAATTTCCAAATACAAAATAAAACCCCTTACACAAAATATGAAGAATTCCCAGTCTTCCTATTAGCCCACGGGAAACAGTAACAAGATAAATTCCAGTCCAGTAAAGCACTTTAACTACATGATAATAAGACCCACTTCAGATAGGAGACAGGTATTAGTGTTCAGTTTATGCAGACAAGGATACCCAGGCATAGATTAAAAAAAAATAAAAAAATAGATGCCTCAAAAATTATTCAGGATACCAATGAGAATAAACAGTAGCAGTCTTCAAAGTCTCAGTGCAGTACAATAGCCTCTACACTACCTATCTTTACCCTGTGAATGAAGTAAATGGAGCTATGCCTTCCAGCATTTAACTGAAGCTTACATTAAGAAAATACAGTGAAACCTACACTGACGTTTTCCTGTAGATACTTTAATCGTAAGATGACAAAAAATATGTAAAGTGATAGCAGTCAACAGTAAAAAACATATGTTGAAAAAAAATAATCAGAATTATTTATTTTGGATAGATTAATAACAATGACATACCAAGAAGCGTGAAACTGTTTCTTCAGACTGAATAAATGTGAAACGTTTGGGGCTTTTTTACTCACAAGTTTTTGAAAACTTAAATGTAATAATTATATATGGTGCTACACATAAACTCAGAAAAGGATAATTCTGCAGTTTTATTTAGAAAATGCACTCATTACTGCTTGATACTCTACCAATGACAAGGTTTGGAAATGCATAGAAAGACTCCTGATACAATCACAACAATTTGTTTCCTGGTTCAGTATAATTTACGAAGTTTGTACATACAGCTGACAGGGACTAACCAGGACTCATTCTTAAAAAAGACTTCAGTGCTTACCCAGCTGCAGAAGCTGTATCACTTTACCTACACATATGTAACTAAAGAGATATAACCCCATAGCACAGGCAGACCATAAACAGTTATATCCCATAGAGGAAAGGGAACAACCTGTGAGTCTATTCAGAGTACAGAGAAGAGAAAAGCACATAAATTTCTTGAACTACAGTTGTTACAATTACCCTAATCAAACAATCTACACTGGTAAAACCTTGTGCAGCACAGGCTCTAGAACAAAATTATGAACAGTACCATCAACTGACTGTACGTGTATATTTTTGTAAAGACTAAGAAAGAATTCTTTAATGATTTTATCAAACAGTTAGATGAGACACCTGGCATACACTGAAAATTATCTACATCTTCCTGCTAGCCTCCATAGGATGCTGGCTCAAGTGTTTTCCAACATCCACGGACCAGAACACATTGTCCACGCTCCCTATTCCTGTGACCTTTTTAATGGAATACACACATCATTTCCCAAATAGGGGCAAGGACAAAAATTAATCTTGCCTCAACAGCTTTTAAATGTGTGAGACCAAAGGAAAAAAAAAAAAAAAAAAAAAAAAAAAAAGTAGTAATTCGTTGCACAGCATAGTAATTTGGTTGTAATGGTATCACACCGGATCTAGAATCTCATTCTCCCTCCCAAAACCATGCCAGTCATTTACTTGGATGAAACTGACAAAAAGGGGTCACAAACCGCAGGAGCAGATTAACAAAATGAAAAAATACTGTGACTGTGTCTCTAAAATTACACGGTATGTTCCCATTTAGGACAACAGAAAATATTTAATAAAAAAGATAGTGATAAGTTACACGTAGAAGTATCAGACAGACATGTTAACTACTTATATTTTTAACTGGTGCACTCTGGGCCATACAGCTGGCGTTGTGGGAATGAGGGAAAGCTATCGACTACTCCACAGAGACCCGGGACATGTGGCTAATTGAGGCAATATTTCAGGATAAAACCAGCACTTGATTTATTATTGTTTACACACATCATAAGCAGGGCCTCTGGGCAACGTCAAGTTTCAGCTCCTAATTGCGGCTGTGTAAACACTCAGGAAGCCTCGGTCTAGGTGTCAAGAAGCCTCTACTCGCAACCGAGCCAAGAGACAATGAGGTCACATCAAAAATTTTTAAAAAAAAAAAGAAAGGCAGAAACCACTTCACGCCAGAACTGCGCACACTGCCCCAAGTGCCAGCCGCTAACATAATCTGCTTTCTATGAATAAGAGGGGAGACGGCGGGGAGGACGCCAGCCCCCGCTCTCCTGGGGGCCGGGCCGCCACCGAAGCGGCAGTAGGGCCGAGGGCAGGTCGGGGAGGGGGGAGCTGTGTATGTGTGGTGGGTCACCCCCCCCACGCCGGCCGGCACCCCCACGGCGGACTACGGGCGTCCGCAGCGGCCAACTGCCGTCGGCAACCCCTTTCCTCCCCCCCTCTCTGGGGGCCGCGCCCGGCCAGGCCGGGGCAGGTGCGGAGAGAAGAAGGAGGCAGCTGCCGCGGCGGCTTGATCCCCGCCACAGGCGAGGGCTCGGCGGGCTGGCTTGGGCCGGGTCTGGCAGGTCGGCGAGAAGGACCCCAGAGAGCCCGAGC